CTTTACCAAAAAACAAATTTCTGCTGGGTTAAGTCGAGCCAATCCTGTTGCCTGTTTCGAAGCAGACAACGAAAGAGACGGCGCAACAACTAACGTCGAAATCCCACCTAAGACCTCTCCGTTAACTTCGAACCACGCACTTCCCAATAGAAAGCATTTAATAGGGATGAATGTTTAATTGAGTATAGTCGAATTATTATTTAATTTAATAAGTTTTATTTTATTACTTAAATTTTATTTAAAAAATTTTTTATTCGAATTGAATTATTTAAGTTTTTGTTTAAATTTAATTATACATATTTATAATATTATGGTAATATTTGATTCTAATTTAAACCATTTTTTATAATTACATATAATACATATATATTTTTCATATATGATATACATATAAGATACAAAATTAAAAGATTCGACTAAAATTTAAAAAAATCTACTAATTATTAAAAATTTCAAATTATTTAAATTTATAAATTAGAGTTAACTCAATTTAATTCGAGTTGAATTTTGTTGGCCCTAAAATACAATTCCCCAATCATCCGTACGTAAAACGCCGTTAAGAAACAGCATTAGCCCACCACCGTTTGCCGCCAAAATGGTCCGTCATATTAAACACATTCCTCCATTCCCCGGTTAAATCCTGAACCAGAGTTAGTTAAGTTAGTTAATTTAGCCGTAAGACAGTGCTTAATAAGAGAAAACCAAATAAAGACATAAAAGAGGAAAGAAATAGGAGAAAGAATCATAGTTAAAGGCAGACAACATTCGCGTAATATAAGACACGCGCAAAGCGATTTTCAGGGATTCTTTTGCAACGGCGTTTCTTAGCTGAAAGCGGTTTTTGGAGGTGAAGCAAGGCGGTATTGTAACGGTGAAAGCGGTTTTTGATTACGGTGTTTGGATCTGGTGATTGTTACGGTGTTGCGAAGAAGCGGAGACGAGTGGTGAATTAGAAGTGTAGTTTTGAAGAGTCAAGCAATTGAATCGTGTTAACTTGATTGTTTAAGTGTATACGGTACGACTTATTAAGTGAAGGATCAGATCGGTTTGGACTTTGGAGGTTTTTGAAATTCGCTGCTGCTTGTTGTTGACTAGGAGAGTTAGAGAGAGTTAAATGATGGCGAATCTGGGAGAGTCGTTTTCGCAGACAAATAATGTCTCCTCTGAAGGTAAAAAGAAAACACAAATGGTCAGCTTTTTTATTTTTGTTTGTCTTTTCCTGGAAAATTTTTGGAACTTTTTTTATCTTATTTTGAGTGATAGGAAATGGAGGCGATGATCTGTACACGGAATTATGGAAGTTATGTGCCGGACCACTGGTTGAGGTTCCTCGAGCTAACGAGAGAGTATATTATTTTCTTCAAGGACATATGGAACAGGTAAATCTCTTTTCACTTTCGTATTTTATTTTTACTTAATTTTTTTATGGAAATGATTAATTTCTTCTTGGATTTGAAATTCTGCTATTTTTGGTGGGGGATTGTTTTAGTTGGAAGCGTCCACGAATCAGGAATTCAATCAGAGGATTCCGATGTTTAATCTTCCGTCAAAGATTCTTTGCCGTGTCGTTCACATTCAGTTGCTGGTAATATTAACAACTATGGTTTCTAGTTGTGTTGTTTGTTTCCCGAGAAAATGGAGATGAAAAAAATGAACTGAGTAATTATTGGGATTTGGGACCCTATTATTATTTTGATCTTGAAGAGGACGTAGACCTTAAGCTTTAAATAATTTTTTTAGTAATTGGTTTTTCAGCTCAAAAAATGGGGTTTCCAATAGAATGTAAGAGATGTAGTTTAGGTGGACAGTAATATTATCCTGTCAACATGATTGATTTCTGCATAACGCTCATGGATCTTTTATGTATGTAGGCTGAAAAAGAAACTGATGAAGTTTATGCACAAGTAACTTTGTTGCCGGATCCAAATGTAAGAACCAATTTTCTTCCTTGCTGATTTGTATTTTTTTAAGATTTGAATTGCCCTTGAAATTAATGATTTCCTTCTTTTCTCATCTATAGCAATCCGAGCCAACAACCCCTGATCCATGCCCTCCTGAGTCTCAAGGACCTACTATCCATTCATTCAGCAAGGTTTTAACTGCCTCAGATACGAGCACCCATGGAGGGTTTTCTGTTCTTCGCAAACATGCCACTGAATGCCTTCCTAAACTTGTACTCCTTTTAAGACGACAACACTGTTTTTTTGGCCTTTTACATCTTTTGTTGTTGTAAATATCCTTTTTGCTGATTTCTATACATGGATATCTTTAAGGACATGAACGAGGCAACCCCAACCCAGGAATTGGTTGCTAAGGATCTTCATGGCTATGAATGGCGTTTTAAGCATATTTTCAGAGGTAATAATAATATACACACCTGATTTTTATACTCTTGTTTGTTCAGTTATTTAATATAAAACACCTTTATATTTTTACTGTCCATTCTGTGTAAAAGACACCTCCACCATTCATCAAGTGGCACATTATTTATGTGTATCTGATTAAATGAACAGGCCAACCAAGGAGGCATTTGCTGACAACAGGATGGAGTACGTTGTTACTTCAAAGAGATTAGTCGCTGGTGACTCTTTTGTCTTTTTGAGGTAGATCATTTATGGATTTTTTTCTACTTGTTTGTGTTTGTTCACCTTGAACATGTTCCGGCCTTTGGTGGTTTTTCTACATGTTATGGGCTACTTTTTTTAACACTTGGTTAACTAGAGGGGAAAATGGCGAACTACGTGTTGGAGTGAGGCATGCTGTTCGGCAAAATAGCATCATGCCATCGTCATTGATTTCAAGTCAGATCATGCATGTTGGAGTGCTTGCAACTGCATCTCATGCAGTTTCAACACAAACCCTCTTTGTTGTCTACTATAAGCTTAGGTATGATATTTGCAGATTTGTCAAAATTTGAGGTAAAAATGATACATTTTCTTATATCTTCTCTTGTGTAAAATATCAGGACAAGTAGGTTCATCATTGGGTTGAACAAATATTTGGAGGCTGTCAAAAATAAGTTTACTGTTGGCGTGAGATTTAAGATGCGGTTTGAAGAGGAGGATTCTCCTGAGAGAAGGTAGTGGAGCTTACCACACGATTGATTTGAATCGATGATTATTTGATCGCTTCTGTAAATTCATACTCAACATATCTTGATTGATAAGGTTTGCCGGCACAATCATTGGGGTTGAAGATTTTTCTCCTTACTGGAAAGATTCAAAATGGAGATCATTGAAGGTAACTTCTTCTCACATGCTTTCTTCAACTCTAAGTTAAATTATTTTGACAGTTTAGGAGCAGTTGTTATTGGGCCGCTATGGCCATAATCATAACAGACGGGGGAAATGCTGAGGGCTATAATTACCAATTTGTCAACAGGTACAATGGGATGAACCTGCCTCTATTCCAAGACCTGACAGAGTTTCACCGTGGGAGATAGAACCCTTTCCTGCTCACGTTCCAACATCTCTGGCTCAACCAGTTGCAGCTAAGAACAAAAGGCCTCGACCACCTGCTGAAATTCCTGCCATAGGTGAAGACATGCTTTGCTTGTTGATACCTCTTCTGTTTTGCTTTTATTTTTTATAACCAACTCATCCACCTTATTGGAATAATATAGATATATCTTCAAAAGCATCAGCTCATCCTGTCATGTGGCACCAAATGCAGACAGAGATGAGCAGTAGTTGCAGCTTTGTTACCAAGACCCCGAATGAAGGAAGTTGGCTACCTTCTCCTGGCATGAGCGTTTTCCATCATCTGTTTCCTGATGCAAGAGAAGATAAAACGAGTTTATCTGATTGGCCAATTCCTCCAGGTTTTTCAAATCCACAGCTCAACCAGGATTCAACCTTTGGTCCAATTGAAAAGTTAAGCAGATCAGAGACAGCTTATAGTTGCCGATTATTTGGTATTGAGCTAATAAACCATTCTGCAAGCTCAACACCATTGGAGATGACATCTCCAAAACTTTCTACTATGACTACGGGTTTAACCGACCAACTTGACCCGAGCACCCTATCCTCTACTGATTCAGATCAGAAGTCCAACCTTTCAAAAGATTCTAAAGAGAAGCAGGAACGGTTACAGCTATCAGCAAAAGAAATCCAGAGCAGGCAAAGTTGCTCTAGCTTTACAAGAAGTCGTACAAAGGTATTGAAAATGAAATATTCTTGCAAGTATTAATTCCTCCAATTGGATAATTATTTACTTCGAAGAATTTCCGGTAATCTTTCTTTGGCATCTGTGTATGTGAACAGGTTCAGATGCAGGGAATAGCTGTAGGTCGTGCTGTGGACTTGGCCATGTTCGAGGGTTACGATCAGTTTATTAATGAACTAGAGGAGATGTTTGATATTAAGGGAGAGCTTCACCCTAGGAATAAGTGGGAGATTGTCTACACTGATAATGAAGGGGATATGATGCTTGTAGGCGATGATCCATGGCCGTAAGTAGCCTAATAATTCCTCGAGTCTTCCACATATATATGATTATTTGTTCTAGAATTCAGACGTTTATCTACTTTGATCTTATATTCATGCAGGGAATTTTGCAACATGGTAAGAAGAATATTTATTTGTACAAGCCAGGATGTGAAAAAGATGAGTAGAAGAAGCAAATTTCCCCTGGCTTCCATTGAAGGTGAAGGGACGATAATAAGCTCAGACTCATCCGAAAACTAAAATAAGAACCCGTTCATCCTTCACTTCCTGTTTGTTTATTGCTGGTACGTAGCAGCTTTTGTGTGTTACTTTTAGGTTGTGGAGTAAAGTAGATGAACCCAAATCACTTAGCTTGGTTTTAGAGCTTCCATAGACCTAAACATCATCATCTGGTTTTGAAAGAAGCAAGAATTCTTCATGTTTTAGTTCGGGATAAGAGGCCAGGAACATGAGAATATCTATACTTATGATATTGGTGATGGGTTGGGGGGCTATGATATTGGTGTTTCTTGTGCTTGTAAATATGAAATGTACTCTGGCAGTATAATCCACGACTGTAGCTGCTTAGAGCTTATAATACTCCCACTAATTTAGTTAGCCTCAGTGTCCTTGTAGGGGGTTCAATTTGTACATAATCATTAGGCCATGATCTTTTCCATTATTCAAGAATGGCTTTAGTCATAATCTTATTTCACTCTCCCCTTTATTAGAAGGGTGACATTTCTTGACATTACTAAGTGATCCATTTACGATGTATAAAACTTTTAACATTATATTGGTTTTGGATTATAACTGTTAATCCAAAAAAAAAATTAATCTTACCATCATAATAATGCGTTTCGTCACCTTTATTTTTTATTCATCATTCATCCAAATACACCATTTAAAACCCATTTGAATTCAGACATAACATCATAAATCAACATTTGCCTTCTACCAAGCTATTATTATTTATTAGTTGATATATCAAGATAAAATTAAATTTATTTAATTAAATTTATTATTACTAATAAATCATTATCTAATTCAGTACACGTTTGATATGAATTTTTATTATATAATAAATAATTACAAACAACAAAGCTAAGAAGACTATTGTTAAATCCTAAAATAGTTCGCATAACAGGATCGCTCTTGTATCAGATCCTAAGTAGCTACTATCATCCAACCTTAGATTCTGCTATCTTAAAGGAGTGTTGACTGCAAATCAATATTCTTCATCAATTGATTTGCATCCTAAAATGGAGCCTTGCTCACTTAGGCATAGCAAGTTGAACCAATTAAAAATAGACTGCAAAGAATTCAGCAGACGTAGCCCCCATGTCTTGAAACACTGCAATCCTTCTTAAAATTAAGCTAGCTCTTCTGTGGTTGCATCCATCTCATTCATCTTCAAGCCCCAGTAATCAGACATCATTCCAGGAATAATCAGACATTCATTGCACACTCTCCACCCAAGAGCTTGATCCACGAGACTCCAAAAACTCTTCATGACTCGAGCAAGTAAAAATGTGGGGTGCCGAGAAGATATTCCAACATTGATTTTCTAAAAACCCCATACTGAAATCTGCTAAAACACACACAAAGCCTTCCACAAACATAACAAATCTCATTTACATTCAAGAGCAAGTAACACAAACTCGAGCTCCCAATACGCTTGGTAGAACTCTCTTTAAACTCCACAGAAAATATATATTTCTTCCACGCCCTATCATTGAAAGAGCCCCCAAATATTGTTATGAGTTGCTTACAATTTTGACTCCAAGATGCATACCAATTTGATCACATAGTCCGTATGGACTTTTGCAACTTCACGACAAAACTCTTAATCTTAAAAATCCATACGCAGAACAATCATTAACAGAACATCAATGCACGTTCCACCAATTGAATTATCTAGGTCAATAGAGAATGAAAAAACCAGCATCAAGTGGCGACTAAGAGCCCCCGAAACAAACCTCCATCACGTTAGCTATAGCCCCTCCAGTCTTGTCAATTCGTTTACCACTTCCTGCTCATCTCCATCGATACTAAAACCCAACTTTTTTTTGCAAATGCCAATGCTTGATTCGCGTTCTTCAGAATCACTTTCTTTTTTGCAGCCGTCGATAAAACCATATTTTAAAGATCTATCTTAAAATTATTTTTTTTCTTACCCGGAATGCATTTGCAACCATTCTTAAGGTTGACCAAAACTGATAAGGAACCTGAATTTCAGCTTGTTTAATATTTTGAATTTCATCCTCAGACAACTTAGCACCATGCTTGTCAAAACCATCACAAGACAACCCAATACTACTAATGTCTTCTAATTCTTCTAAAGATCTCTTGATTCCACCAAAATTTCATTGAGGTAAGACCATTTATGTTCCTCCAAAATTTTGAAGTGCTTCTCATTTTTTATTTCTAACAGAAAAAATCTTCCTCCAATCTTCTTAATTTCAATTTTACCGAGGCCCCACACTCGAAGTCTGTCTAGAAAACTATTGGTATCACAAACAGCTGCTATCGAACCTATTAAGCATTTTTGTCATCTCCATAAGGTTTTCTCTTCTACATGCCCCATAGTCTTTTTGATATCATTCAGTCCTTGCTTGTTCGAATTGAACGTGTTGTCCTGTTTTTGTCTTGATGTTTAGCATTTTTTTCACTAGACACTTTATCTCTCCATGGATGGTTCCTTTCCACAGTTGTATTTATCTGTTCTTCTCCACTCTCCTTTACTGCAGGAGCCTTCATTCCATTAAACCTTCACTTCCCATCGCCAAGAAAACCTTCACTTCCAGCGGTAATCTCCTCACCGTTCTTCACTCAGCTATCACCACTTCCATACCAACTCGACTCTTGCCACAGTCACTGAACCACTTTCGTCCCACCACCAAAACCTCCATCAACATCCCAAAGCACTAACCTAAACGCCAACTACCCAACAACATAAACGCAAATGCTTACGTATTTTAAGTTTTAACAACATTTTTATTTGTCATCGATCAGGTTTTGATGGACAAAAATAGAGACAGACATTACAGCCTTTCCTGCCCTGTGACATGTGCTAGACCCTGCTGAAATTCGGAATCGATTGGCTTTTGATCAGTTTCCTCAAGAATTCCAAGGTCTAAATGAACGTGAATGATCTTACGGGCTTGTCGGGTAGTGGAGGCAACGCACCGCGAAACGATGTCGTTCCCGCGCATGATCCACGCTACATTGCTCAATCATCCTGCAATTTTTCTTCTTCCCTTAGGTAAAATTGGTATTCAGCTATGGTGTCTTGATATTACACAAAACTATGGGCGGTTGCCCAATGTTGGATAGTGGATACACAAATGCAAGGCATAAACAAAATGGAACTTGACGAAAGCCCAATCATTCGTTAACCTATGAAAACCCTTTTATTCATAAATGCACTTTCACTTGTATATTCATACTGGAATTATCTTCGAGTGCGTATGTATGTGTCCGACATTCATACGAAAGGTAATGTGTTTCTATTCTTTCAACTACCTACCATATCACTTGAACTGGATTCTTTTATCTTTATATTATTATATTTACTTTAATTTGAGAATAATTGACGACATAGACAAATCCATAGTTTTGCATCAGTTTTTTAGGTTTATCCCTGCATATTGTGTGGCCTGTCAGAACGTGCCCACATGGGGTACTTTCATCCTTTGCTCCCATGGCTAACCAGTCCTTAATTTGCCTATAAAAACCCTTGCTCTGCTTCACCATTTCATCGCACCAACACTTACATTAATTGTACGAAACAACAACTACTATATCACTGTGTTATTCTGATTCTAAAACATGACTTTCAACACCGTTGCATCGCCTGCACTTCTTGTTCCCTGAACCTATTGTTCTTCACCTTGGTGAGCTCCAACATATGTATAATTTTATATTAGATGGATAAAAACAAATTATCAATATAAAAAATAAAAAAAATATTTAAAATATATAGAAATTTAAAATTTTCATGGACGACCATCCCTATCGGTCTGTCACTGATGAGCAAGACCTACGTGCCATGCCCACCACCACCCAAGGGCCCGCCCTCGGGACCTAAAAAGCCAGCCACTTGCCCTAGAGATACACTCAAACCGGGTGTGTATGCTTAATTGTTGTGGGGAGTGGTGTAATTTATGGTAATGGTCTAAATCAAAGCTTTTGTTATCAACGTGTGCGAGAGTCAGCACTTTATGGATTTCAAAATGATATCTAAATTTTAAAATACTTGAATTGAACTCTCATAATGTCGGTATTGTATCAATTAGATATTTATGCTAACGTAACTATTAGCTTATGCATTAAATGGAAGTTGAAATCCAACGTGAAACATATTTAAAAGAAGTAGATCAAACTATGAATATGTTAAAAATTTATAAGTGAAAAAATAATTAAAGTGAAGTAATATGAAATAATCACGTACCTCAACGGATGAGAAAAAAATTTACTATAAAATATATAGATACAAAAAGTTCAAATGATTTTTCTTTTATGTTATAAACCCAATATTTTATCAAAATTCTTTTTACATCTCTACAATTGGAACAGAGATTCAACTTTAATCTTTTGAACCGATATCCCAAATAGATTACTCTCTCCAAACTGAGCTATTGAGTTTGGGTTTTGACTATTAATTTCGTATTCAATATTTTTTTCATGTGGTGGATACAAATTGTGTTTAGGATATGCAATTACTCACCCTAAAATAACTTAATTATCGAACTTAACATTGTTTAATGTTTTGAATTATTACTTGGATGAAGCACAGCTGCAAATCATATAATTTATGGTAAGATAGATCTGCAGATCGATCCTATAAGAGCAATGGGAACATGGCATGTGCTATATAATTTCCTCCTCAATCACAAACATCCAAACTTCACCAGCCAAACTCATGGAATGTTTGTTTCTCATATGCTTCACCAGCCAGCTCAAAGTGATGACCCTACAGTTTGATTAACATTTAAAAAACAACCGACTACCCCTCTTGAAGACACTATAAAATCCCCTCTCCCCTCATTCCAAATTCATCATCCTCAAACACTCCTACTTTCAACTCTAAGCCAACTAGGGTTTTGAGATGGCTTCAAAAAGATCAGCTTCCATGGCCCTCTTTTTGGCACTCAATATTCTCTTCCTTTCCCTTGGCAGTGCTTCTACCCCCTGCCCTCCCACCAGCCGTAACCCGAGGCAGAACCCCAACCCCAACCCTACTCCATCTACACGAGGCAGATGCCCCAGGGATGCCCTTAAGTTAGGTGTGTGCGTTAATGTGCTTAACTTGGTCAACGTCGTCGTCGGTTCACCCCCGGTGCAGCCATGTTGTTCCCTTATCCAAGGCCTGGCCGACCTCGAAGCCGCCGTCTGCCTCTGCACTGCACTCAGAGCTAATGTCTTGGGCCTCAACCTTAACATCCCAGTTTCCCTTAGCTTGCTTCTCAACATTTGCTCAAGGAACGTTCCAACGGGATTCCAATGCTAAATCACCACACTTCACCATCTTCATCTTCCTTATGGTTTTTGAAATTTATAGTTTCCAATAAAGCAGTGTTTAATTTCTTTTGGCAACTTTGTTGTTTAATTTCCTAGTAGGAATTGATGCATTCAAGTGTGTTTTTCTCAGAGATTTGTGAATCTCTGAGGGACATGAAAATACTTGTATTATTTTCCTTGTTGTTTCTTTATCGATTTATTAATATGATGCCTATTTATTTATATTTTTATGTTTGTATTTTTCTCACAACATGCAAAATGTGAGCAAACCACATGGATCAATATTTTTATACCTTAATTAAGAATTCTTCAAGCGAAAACTAATAACCAATATCATTCAATAATGGTGGCTCAACCTTGGGAGCGCCTCCGTGGCGTGGTGGGTTTCGGCGGCGTTACGGCGTATGATGTGGCTGCGTACGAGGAACACAAGCATAAACTGGTTGCAGTTATACCAACATGAAAAGGTGGAAAAACATGCATGGCAGTAAGATTTATGTTACCCCATGAGTGCCTAAGAGAATGAAAACACCTACTACCCTACAAATATATGTGAAAATAGAAAAGGCTAAAAGTACATTAAAGGTTACTAACTATGCTCAAATGGTTATTTTGGTTGCTAAATTTTATAAAAATTATAAAACAGTCATTGATTTTATTAAAATGTTATAAAATGATATTAAATTTTATCCAAATGTTATAAAATAATCATTAAATTCATCAGAATTTTACACTTAATTATAATATTGCAGAGACCATTTTATAAAAATTTGATAAATTTAATACTATTTATAATTTTTATAAGTTCAATGACTAAAACGATCCTTTAGTTTAAGCAATCGATTCCGTTGGTCTTCCATTGACAACATGCCAATATATCAACACTTTGCTCCGAAAAATGCCATATACCAACAAAATTAGGGTTTAGCAGTAATCATAGAATATTGAAAGGAAGCTTCTCAAACTGCTTTGTTTCCATTAAATGTTACTTTCTTATATGCTTCAATTTGAATTTTCCGGGAAAATACGAAAAGAACAAAACCAGAAAACTCAGAAGAAAAATGAATAGAGTATGAATGTAGCTAATAGAAAGAAGAAGAAATTCCAGCAACTTGAGGAACAGTAGAAGTAAGAGTTGATGGAAGTAATTATGAGGGGCCATGTGCTTAATTCCTCTCCTTTCTCAAACATCTGCAAATCCCCATACATTGCTCTGGCTTTTCCAGTTCACCATGAAAGCTAAGAGACAAAGCTACCTCATCAGCATTCACATGTATGTGCTTATTTCCACTTGTCCCTTTCATTCATTCATTTTGGTTCCAATATTATTTCTCTTTCTCTACATACACGTATACATACATATATATAGTAGTATATTAATATTTTAATTTAATAACTAACTAATTTGAATCGAATACGGCGTAGGTTCATTATGAGAAAGACCTTAATTTAACTTGTTTTATTTACTAAAATTCAAAATTTAAATATTATGTAATAAAAAAACGTCTCTTTCTAATAAATCAAATACTCATATGTTTAATGATTTACATTTAATAACAATTAATCTAATGTAATTAGGGATTTAAATAGTGGTAAGGGAATGAGCGAAATAGTATTCGTTATATAACAACAGTGGTGCAATGTGAGATTACTATTATAAAAAATAATGTTATGAAATAGAATCACACCGATAATGGTGAATAGAAGTCACAATTTAATGGGCAACAACCAATAACAATAATATTGAGTTACTATTCCCGTTATTGTTCTATTACAGTAAAAAAAATTAAAAATCAATAACCCATTGCAACAATTTAAATTATTATATTTTATAATAAATTGTGTGAAGTAAAAAAATATTCATGACTATAATACAAATTATAATTGTAATAATATCTATTATGTTTGTAACTACGATCAACATAATCATAATTGTAATTAATTTTTTTATACAAATTATGATCTTAGAAGTAGCGTATCAACTAGCATGGAAGAAACAAAAATAGTTTGAGATATCATTTTTATTCTTATCTTTAACTTTATTATTATCATTTATATTGATTTTAATATGTGAAGATGAATAATTGACGACTTATAGACAAATCCATAGTTTTTCATCCAATTTCTTTCAGGCTTATCCCTACCTGGTCTGCCAGGTTGTACCCCAAACCCAACGTGCCCACATGGGGTATGTTCACTCACAACGTGCCCATGGCTATAACCAGTCCCTTAATTCGCCTATAAAAACCCTAGCCCTGCTTCACCATTTCATCACACCAACACTCACAACTAATAACACCATTGTCTCTGTTGTTGTGAATCTAAAACATCATGGCTTCGACCACCGTCACATCGGCTGCACTTCTCGTTGCCCTGAACCTGTTGTTCTTCACCCTGGTGAGCTCGACCTACGTGCCATGCCCACCACCACCAAAGAGTCCCAAGCCATCCCCCAAGGGCCCGCCCTCGGGGCCTAAAAAGCCAGCCACTTGCCCTAAAGATACACTCAAACTGGGCGTCTGTGCTGATTTGTTGGGGGGATTAGTGCACCTTGTCGTCGGAAGCTCGTCGAGGACCAAATGCTGCTCTCTCATCTCGGGTTTGGCTGATCTCGATGCCGCCGTTTGCCTTTGCACTGCAATCAAGGCCAATGTGTTGGGGACTAACCTCAATGTTCCCGTTTCATTGTCCCTGCTGCTCAACACCTGTGGAAAGAAACTGCCTGCCGGTTACAAATGTTATTATTAAGCTTACTTCCAATGTTTTGGTTTCTTTTTTAATATGTTTTGAGTGTGTTTCATTTGGAGTTTTGGCATGCCATAATCATTCGGCTTTTTTACCCCACTGACACCGTTTATTTTTATTTTTACTTTTCTAACACCGTTCGACCAATATTTCCAAAACTAGCACCCTTTCTGCTGAGTTGGCAAAGGCGCGTCCCCGGGGGCGCGCTTTACCCGTGTTTTCACTGAGTTGGATGCCACGTGTGAAAGGCGCGTCCCGGGGACGCGCCTTTGCCATATCAGACACGTGTGGAAGGCGCATCCCCGGGACGCGCCTTCCATTAAATGTCATTAATGCCCCCATCCGTTTTTCCTAACTACCCTCCTCCTCCCCTATAAACCCCCTCAACCCTCACTCATTCTTCACACCAAAATCATCTTCTCCTCTCTTATATGACTCAAATTCTCCAACTATTTGAGTTTTAAATTTGTTATTAGTGGTAAGAAATTTATTTTTATGTTAGTATTTTTTAAAATAGTTATTATTTTTATATAATATATTTATGTAAATATTATTTATTATTAAAATAATATTTATAAATTATTATTTATTTAGAATTATTAATTTTTTTGCTAATTATATTGTTTGTCTACAGTTATAATGGAAAACGAAATACTGTTGCGATTGGAATGATCATATCTCCAGACATTTTAGCGATATGGTAATATTTTATAATTAATGTTAATATTTAAATTTATTTTTATTTTAAAGTTATTATGAATTATATTAATTTTACTTTTATATATATTATTTAGGATGCTGATCGTATTTTAGAAACTTTTATTAAAAATCCACGTATACCGACACCGGAACGTATTTTGCCATATTTGGCTTCTGCTGGGTTCGGGTATATTGCAACAATTATAGGCGGTTGCAAACTCGAACCTGTCCTAATTTCTGCACTGATTGAGAGGTGGAGGCCCGAGACACACACTTTTCACCTTCCATGTGGGATGCAACAATTACGTTGGAGGATGTCTCTATGCATCTGGGGCTTCCCGTCGACGGAAATATGATGTGTGGTATGGCGGATGGTGATTGGCAATCAATGTGCATTGATTATCTTGGAGCTGCTCCGCCAGAGTTTAATGGAGGTAGAATAGCTTTATCTTGGTTGAAAGCTAATTTTGAGGTTTTAAATGAAAATGCTTCAGAGGATCAAGCAAAGGCATGTGCTCGGGCATATATTCTACGAATAATTGGAGGAATATTGATGCCCGACAAATCTCGCAACCAGGTGCATTGTATGTGGTTGCGGCATCTGATCGATTTTGATGAAGCTGGAAGATATAGTTGGGGTGCTGCAGTTTTGGCATTTCTCTTTAGAGAAATGTGTCGGGCGACGAATTATAAGAAAACTGCTATCGGTGGATGTCTTCTGCTTCTACAATCATGGGCGTGGTTCCGCATGCCTTTCTTATGCCCGATCGTGAATGAACCATACGTATTCCCCTTATTGTTGAGGTAATTTTCGAACTAAATTTTGATTTAAATATTTTCAATTAAATAGGGTGATATTTAGTTTATATTATATTTCATAGGTGGTCGATGAAAAGAAAGGACCATAAAAGTATACCTACTGTTTTAGAGGAAATTCGTTTACTTATTGATACGAAAGCTGGGTCTGAGGTATGTTTTTAAATTTGTTTAATTATTAATATTTTAATTTAAAATGTTAGATATAATTAGAATATTTTATTTATTGAATTGTATATTTATATTTCAGTTTCAGTGGATACCTTATGCGAGCGATGAAGTGAAAGCTTGCATCCCACCCCACCTAGAGGGTCATTAGAGGTATGGATATCGGTTATACCTCTTATATGTTATGCTTATTGAGTGGCATCCAGTTGATCGCGTGCTCCGTCAGTATGGTTGTACGCAATATATTCCTGGAGCTCCTAGAAATTTAGACGACGTGCATAACATAGATAGACGGGGAAAGAAAGATGTTAACTGGGTGGTGAGACACAGAGATTGGATTGCGCTTTGGGAGAACCGATATACACTGTTGGCCCCTCGACAATATTACGCTGAAACTGGTATGGTTACGAATAACTATATGGACTGGTTTAATGAAAATGGGGCGTTTCTACTTTCGGCGAAGACGAGGGGTTAACATTCCTAGGCGCCGAGAAAGACGTCAACCGTCTCAATATCATCGTCCCCCGACGCGTGGAGAGAGAAGGCGCTACCGGTTCTGCATCAGTCCCACCACAACCCTTATTCGTCGATGCGCGGGGTAATGCCCAGCCCTCCACTTCATATGCCAAGCCCACCAGTTTATATGCCATCTCCGCAGGGTTACATTCCGAGCCCGCAGGGTTACATTCTCTTATTAGGCTGGTGGTGCTTCTCCGCAGACACCTCAATCTTCATCTGGATCACATACATCGATGCCAATGTTTCCACAGTTTCCACAGTTCCCGGGGAGCGGTGGGATGTTACTAGCACTCCTCCAGGGTCGTTATTTATACAGGCCCTTCAGCCCCTTCAGCGTCATCTGCACCAAATGAAGAAAATGCTGCTGATGATGATAGTGAAGATGAGGACTGAAGAACAAGTTCCACGAAGAAATCCTCCACGAAATAGGCAACCACCGCCATGTGGAACTCATCGAGACGACGACATCGGTGATCCAGTTATATTTAATGTTATTTAAATAATTAAATTTCAGAATTTTATGTAATTTGGTTATGTTATTTAAATGTTTCATGGTTACATACATATTTTTTTATGTTATTTTTATTCACATTTAACATTAAAGTTTGATAAATGTTTTTAAAATACAAATTATATTATTCGAAATTTAAAATAAAAATAAAATATTATTCAAATTTAAATTTAAAAATAATTATAGTATTCGAATTTAACATTAAATTTCAACTTAATATTCCAATTGTATTCGAAATTAAAAGTTATATTCCAATTAGTTCACAATACTTAAATTGAAATTAAAGGACTCCAACATATGATTTTATCATTAACATATATATTAAAACGTATACATTAAAATCAACTTATGTTGAGTTCATCGATCGACGTAATCAACAAGAGGGGGTGAATTGGCAATTTATTCAATGTCACATTTCAATGCTTATTCCATACAATTTCAATGTCACAATCAACTTATCACTTCACTTTATTCAATTTATCAATAACATTTATCTAATTTATTCAAACTTCACATAACGTTTTAATTTAAGTTTTCTTAACTTGTTGAACATTCAAAAGAAGTTAAATTTAAGTTATTCCCCGAGGGACATGAGTGACATAATAGGGCAATGATAATATTCTCTGACGAAATAATGGAAGGCGCGTCCCCGGGAACGCGCCTTCACGTGAATAGTGAAATAATAGGTACTGATATATCTAGTGTCCCCGAGGGACATGAATGACATAATAGGGCAATGATAATATTCTCTGACGAAATAATGGAAGGCGCGCCCCCGGGAACGCGCCTTCACGTGAATAGTGAAATAATAGGTACTGATATATCTAGTGTCCCCGAGGGACATGAATGACATAATAGGGCAATGATAATATTCTCTGACGAAATAATGGAAGGCGCGCCCCCGGGAACGCGCCTTCACGTGAATAGTGAAATAATAGGTACTGATATATCTAGTGTCCCCGAGGACATGAATGACATAATAGGGCAATGATAATATTCTCTGACGAAATAATGGAAGGCGCGCCCCGGGAACGCGCCTTCACGTGAATAGTGAACCGATATAGAAACTATTATATGCAAATTATAAACTTTCAAAACAAACTTCAGTTCATCTTTCAAATTCTCAAATTCCCAAACTCTAAATTCTCAAATTCTCTGAAAATGAGTCGTCTTTCTGCTGTTGTTTTGTATGATGGAGAAATTAAGGAAGCTGAAGAGGGGGTTGTTTTGAGTCAGATCATTATATCCCCTTAACCTTGAAGAGAAACATCACAATTGAGGAGTTAATCACAAAAATTTCGTTAAAGATTCGTGTAGCAGGCCAGAGAAGACTATCTTCACTTCAATACAGATTTCCTACTGAACTTTTTCCGCTCACGTATACATCATTTCAGCTTTCAAACGATGATGTTTCTATGATGGTTGATGCTCATATGGGGAGTTCACAATCTCTATTGAAATGTATGCCACTTTTATTGAGGTTCGTGTAACTCGTGGTCTCTCATATTCCTCTCACTTTGGCATTGCATATCAAACTGATCAAGTTGATAGCCCGACACAACTTATCTGTAATGATTTCACATCATTAATGGCGGATCCAACGCCATATACCATGCCATCAAGTTCAATAGGAAGGCATTCATCTTCAACTGCTTATGATCTCAACCCACGTGGCTTCACCAATAATCCATATGGCAACATCTCTTCTACTTCAAGGGGCAGACATTCATCTGCCAATGTTTCGACTTACATATGGAAATGCAACAGACGACAGTCTATTCACATCCCACATGATACAATGGCCTCAAGTTCAAGGGGAGGACACGCAAGCGGAACTTATTTGACCTCAACATTGGATTATCGGAACCCTCATCTCCACCAGAAGAACCTCTTCGGGAGCCAGGTGCAGATGGTGCTGAACGGGATTATTCGTTGAACCTGACTCACCACAGTTTAACGTACATTCTGATGATGACGAGGATGACGTTCCGATAAATACAACACCAGCCGAACTTCCTGCACATATGTATGAGGCTGATTATGATGCAATGTATGAGCTGAATTTCCAGATCTTCCTGATGTTGGAAACTATGGACTTCAATCATCAGTCAATGACGGTAATTTACATATTGGAATGGAGTTCGCATCGAAGGAGGAAGCAATGATGGCAATAAAGAGTTACAATATTCGTAACTCAGTTCAGTCCCGAGTTGATCGATCTAACACGGAGAATCTGCTACTGCGAGTCCAACGTCACAACAGATGTCAATGGATGGTCCGTGTATCAAAGAGGAAGAGGAAGAACAACTTATGGGAACTAACCAGATACAACGGTCCTCATACATGTTGTGCAACAGGTATAAACCAGGATCATCCCAACTTGGACTCCAACATTATTTGTCAAGCAATCATGCCCATTGTGAAGCAAAGCTCTCATATAGCTGTTGCAGTGTTGATTTCTGCTATACAGTCCCAATATGGGTACACTGTCTCATATAAAAAAGCGTGGTTGGCAAAACAGAATGCCATTTGCAAACTTCATGGCGAATGGGATTCCTCTTACAACGAGCTGCCCAGTTGGTTTCATGTTGTGCAAAGACTTAATCCCGGGACAATTGTTGAGTTCGAAACTCAACATCATTACGTGAATGATCGAATGGTTCGCGATCGCTGCCAATTTTACCGAGTCTTTTGGACTTACCCTCAGTATTAATGCAGTCAAGTACTGTAAACCAATTGTCCAAATTGATGGTACTTTCTTGTATGGGAAATACACAAGTTTTATTATTGGCTGTGGTCCAAGATGGAAACCGCAATATTCTTCCTGTTGCGTTTGCCCTCGTTCAAGGAGAAGACACTGAGTTGGGCTTTTTTCCTTAAAAATTTACGTTTACATGTTGTCACCAGGGAACGAGTATGCATTATTTCAGACCGAGGAGCCGGGATAAAAGCAGCAATGGACTCTTTGGGTACAATGTATAGACCTTCACCTGTTCAACATCGTTATTGTGTCCGTCATATTGCAAACTATTACGGAAAATACAAGAAGAACGATGAACGTCAGTTAGTCGTGCGGATGGGTATGTTACTTTTTCCCAATTTTTCTATCAATTTCTTATACTTATTTATACTTCATATTAACTATTACATATTCCTAATGACTTAGGTTACGAACTCTTACCTCAAAGGTTTGAGTCGATGCTACAAGAGCTGTTTGGCAAAAATAAGAAGGGGTGCGAGTACATTATGGACATCAGCAAAGAAATGTGGACAAATGCATATGACGGGGGTATCGCTATGGTCATATGACAACAAACTTGGCTGAAGCAATAAATTCAACCTTAAAGGGGGCGCGTCATTTACCAGTCACGGCGTTGGTCAAAACGACTTATTTTCGTTTGGGTCAACTCTTTGCAAAACTCGGTGGACAAGCTCTTACTTGGATGCAAAACGGACATATTTACCACCCAAGACTAGTAGCCGATTTACAGAAAAAAATGGCTACATCAAATGGGATGTTAGTTACAAATTTTTCTCGCACCCGTGAATTGTTTCGTGTAACCGAAATGCCACGTCCGCTGCAAGGGATTGAAGCTAACTCTTTCAGAGTTAATCTGCAAGAGAGGTGGTGCGATTGTGGTTTCTTTCAAGCACTCAAATATCCATGCTCTCATGTCATTGCTGCTTGCTCACATTCGCATTTGGACTACAAAAATTATGTTGATCCCGTTATACCAACTTTCACAAGTTTTCAAGGTATATGAATTTGAGTTTCCGCCCATAGGAAACGAAAGAGACCCAAATGAGATTCAAACTTGGCTTACAATTGTCCCAGATCCATTGCTATTGAGGGACTCAGGTCGTCCAAAATCTACTAGAATACATTGTGATATGGATATTCGGGAGAAGTCAACAGAACAAAAACGATGTGGGCATTGTAGAAATCGGGCACAATAGAAAAAAATGTCCAGCTCTGTTATCATCATATAACCGTTAACTCTTATGTAATTAAAGTTTTTAAATGAATGTTTTTATTTCTAATAATTTAATGTTATTGCATTATATTTTGTCAATGTATGTACACCTAAATAATTTTTTTTAACTTTTAAATACATAATATTTAATATATTATTTAATATAATATTTAATATTATTAGTTATAATTTTTACATTATAATCGAAACATTTTACATAATATAATCGAAACATTTTACATAATATATTATTAATTTATAATAATAATAATAAAAATAAACTATTATTATAAAACAAAATACGTGTCTGCTGAGTTGGCAAAGGCGTCCCCGGACGCGCCTTTCACACGTGGCATCCAACTCAGCGAAAAACCGGGTAAAGCGCCCCCGGGGACGCGCCTTTGCCAACTCAGCAGAAAGGGTGCTAGTTTTGGAAATATTGGTCGAACGGTGTTAGAAAAGTAAAAATAAAAACAAACGGTGTCAGTGGGGTAAAATCACCTAATCATTCATTAACTGCTATTTATGTACTTGTTTTGCTGCCAGGAAAGAAGGCTTCTCGCCTTCTAATCCTTAATTAATTTATGTTCCTTAATTTCAGTGCAACATTCTATAAATAAACAACTTTTTTTTTCTCTCAATCGGGGTATTTATTTTATCAGTAGCAGGCGTTGGAAAGTTCTACATAGTATGAAAATACAATTTAAACTCGATTAATTTGAATTTCTTAATCCATTTAATTCGACCCAATACCATCGTTAATTGATAGTTGATTATCTGAATCATATCATTTTATTGTATTGTAAATGTTTGGTCCACATTCTTGAATTATTGTTCCATTTCTTTCAAGCCAACAGGAAAGCAATGTGGGGGTTTTACAAGATCTTGTGATTCAAAACTATATATGTGGGTATATGATGTAGAAAGCAAGTTGAAGAAGGGATTCAAAGTTGAAAATTTCATTAGTTTTATACATAAATTCAACAAGTAGTCTAATCGGTAAAAAAGAATATTGATCTTTTTAGATGTTTTGAATTTGATCAGTAACGTCTATAGAGTGTTAGTTCATTATCAATAGACTAGAAAAATTTTGAATATATATTATATTGTAATCTCATCATGTTATTAAAAATAGTTTTATATGTATTTTGCAATAAATTACAAAAATATGACGATTTTATTGTGAATTTGACTTATATATATATTATTAATAGATTGAATTATATCATTTTGATAAAATTAAAATCACATGTATTGATTTTTATTTTTATTTTTTTGAAAAATAAAAACGATAATGTAATTGGTAGAAAATTCAAACAATTTGTCATGCAATCAGGGAAATTATACAAAGCACCAAAAATGAAAGACTATATAATTAAGATAAGTCGTCGCACTTTGGTCCACTATATACTTAAGACTATATAAAAATTCAAATAAATTACAAAATATCCCGTGAATCATCTTAACAAAATAATATTATCTTAAATTTAAAAAGATTTAATTCCATCACATATCCTCAAAGTATGATCCTTATTTTAAATTGGTCCCTAAACTTTTGATTATTCCAACTTTACCCCTAAAATATACTATCATTCTAATTTAGTCCTCAAGCTTTTGAAGATTTCAATTTTATCCCCAAACTATGACCTTTCCCTAAACTTTTTGAACATTCCAATTTTATCTCAAATTATATGTATATACTAATCGCATCCCTTATTAATAAAATCATTAGGCCAAGTTGTATTATTATATGTTTGACAAAAATTATGTTAAATTATAGTTAATACTAATTACATATTTGGATAAATTTGGGGATGAAATTGGAATATGAAAAAGTTTAAGGACCAATTTAGAAAGAGGGTCATAGTTTAGGGATGAAATTAGAATATTCAAAAGTTTAAGGACTAGTTTAAAATGAGAGTCATAGTTTGAGGATGAAATTAAAATATTCAAAAGCCTAAGGATCAATTTAAAATGAGAATTATAATTTTGGGATATAATGGAATTAACTCGTTTAAAAATATGGTTTTTAATCAAAATTTCATGCATGATTTGAAACAATTTTTTTTATTAAAATTAATATGTAAATAAAAACAAAATGACATATACATATAAAAACAACAACAATAATAAATAATAGAAGATATTAATAAATATGAACATGCTGAAGGACTTAATTGAAATAACAAAAATTTTAATAGGAAATAAAACAATTAAACATGCGAATTAAGGGTCAAATTGTATTAAATGATAAGTATAATGTAATATTTGTTTAAAGATAACTCTCAACCATTTGACATTGAACATTCACACTCTTGATATTCATGGTATTCGAACTCGAAAACTCAAAAAATAACAATAATAATTTACTACCGAAGTCGATTGATTCGTGCTAACTTTTCATAGTTAGATAATAACAATGGTAATAATTCTATATATAATTTAGACACTTTTGAAAAGTTACCATATAATTAAATTTATATATATATATATATATATGGAATATTTATATAATTATTGTAATTTTTAAGTCTCGTTTCATTTAATGTAATTGATATTTTACAATAAAATTATATTCTGTCAATCATTGTGATTTAAACTTTTTATAATTATATGAACACATTTTCAAATAATTACCGTGATCTCCAAACACGCTCTTAATAACCATTTGTATAGTTTATCTTTTACTATCTTATTAGATTTTGATATTTATTTTTCAAGTCAAACTCTTTAAATTAGGGCCTACTTGATAATTCATAAAAAAATTAATTTATTAAAAATTTATAATTTTAGTTATCATTTAATGGAGAAAATTTTTAATATTCTTATTTCTTTTAGTTATATTATTTTTTATTAGTTTGAAATGATTATATAATAGTATATGTTCGTTCATTTGACAATAAATGCTCAAAAACCCTAACAAATGTCGTACTTAAACCCGTGACCTATAGAGATAATACTATTCCTTAACCACTGAGGTCATTTGATTTGTATTAATCTTAATTAATTAATTAATTACAAATAAGTATATACTCATAATATATCTATATAATATTCAATCTAAATTAATATATTAATAAATAAATGCCAGAAATCGTATCAAAAATGTGAAGCAACTCCAAGGAACCTGTCTCTTTTGCAGTAAGACGAGTTTTCTTTTCAATCCTTTTTTAAGTTTTCCACGTGACAATGCTTAGATATACCTCAACAAATTCTCAGTCACGGACAAAACTATACTTACAAGTGTGTTTTATTTGTGCTGTTTTTATTGCAATTGTAAATATAAATAAATAATAAAAATATAAAATATCGATCAAATTCGTAATAAATTTAAAATTCTTAATGAATATAAACATACGTAAATTTGTTAATTCAAACTCAATTAATTTAGAATAAAATACAAATTTCATTAATAAATTGGCATAGAAACAATAAGGAATTAAAACAAGGTGAATAATACAAGTCTTTTCATGTCATTTAGAGAGAGAAAAAGCCCTAAGAAAAGCACTTGAAGAAAAGTATTAGACTTATTTGTTGGAAAAATAAACCGAGTACGAGTAATTTTCCTATAACCAGATTAGTGAGAATACGAAATAAAAGCGGAAAAATAATACCCGAAATTGATAACAGAGTTCAGCCAATTTTGCCTACGTCTCTGGACTGCTGTAGATCTTTTACTAAAAAGAGAAAATTTACAGGTGTTTACAAAACACTCACTACTCACAAGAGAACTCTCTAAACTCTTTAGTATCGGGAAAAGAATTTTATTTTGAGATGATATGAAGCTAAATGGGCTAGGGTATTTATAGTTGAAACTTAGGGACTAATCTTTGAAAACCCTAAAGTCTAATGACTAAAAATAATTAATCATTTCTTAAATTCAAAAATATGAGCTGCCTAACTTTGAAATTTAAGACAGCCCCCCACCTTTAAAATTCAAGCAGCCATCGTCTGCTATTATTTGACCAACAATCTCCCACTTGAAGACTGATTTTAATCTGTCTTCACACCTTGATCAATGCAACAGCATTTCTAGTCTTGTTATTCTAGCATGCCAACTGAAGTTGAACACAACTTCAGTTTATCCGTAGTCACCGTCTTTGTTAACATGGCTGCTGGATTTTGAGCTCCACTGATCTTTTCAAGTTTCAAAATCCCATCTTCCAAAAGAGACCGGATAAAATGATATCACAATTGTATGTGCTTCGTCCTGGAATGAAATAAATGTCAGAAATCGTATCAAAAATGTGAAGCAACTCCAAGGAACCTGTCTCTTTTGCAGTAAGACGAGTTTTCTTTTCAATCCTTTTTTAAGTTTTCCACGTGACAATGCTTAGATATACCTCAACAAATTCTCAGTCACGGACAAAACTATACTTACAAGTGTGTTTTATTTGTGCTGTTTTTATTGCAATTGTAAATATAAATAAATAATAAAAATATAAA